TCCACATTGGCGTGTAGAGCAGAGGCCAGCAGCCCCCAAGGCCTCTGGCTCTTTCGTTTATGTTATCCTGACACCGGTGTCCATGGTCAGGCCTAATCCACGGGGACGGGAAGACTCAGTCACCTCAGGCCTGAGCCCTAACCCTGTTCCTCTGTGACCTTTGGCACATTTCACTTCCCCAAGCTCATTAAATATTTTTGCTATGAAGCAATTTCAAACATAAAGGTACAAAGAATACCAAAATGAATCTCCGTCATCCAGTTTTAGTGGTTATCAAGATTTTCACACGTTTACTTCATCTCTGGCTTTTTCTATTTGCTGAGTTATAAGAATTGTAGGAAAATCCCAGAGATGTCATTTCATTTCACACCTTCATTCTTTTGTATGCATTGCTAAAAAAAGGACTTTTTAAATAAAACCACAGTGTTAATATTTTACTTAAAAACTAATAATTACTTTCAGTAGCATTTAACACCAATCCACAATCAGATTTCCCAGATTGTCCCTTAGCTAATGTTTGTTATCTTTAAAAGGGGGATAATAATTCCTTTTCCCTCTTTTTGGGCAGGAATTATGTGCGATGGTATTCCATACCTATTTCGGATAAAAAAGAAAATCTAAGTTCTGCCATATAGCAGAGCTCTTGCCTTAAAGATTTTAGAGGCTGAAGAGCCTAATACAGTGTTTGGTTCATGTCATACATGTGACTGGGGGTGGTGACCGCAGCTATTTGCCTTGTTTGTGCTGACACAGGGCTGGTCGCCACTGAAAATGAGATGGAGTGCGTTTTATTTATTGCAAGTGACTCCTGTGCTTACCCCGTTCTTTGTTGTCCCAGCATTTCTCCATTCCTCCCCTGGACAGGGAGCCTTCCCTTCCTGCCCAGCAGTCTCATAGTCACCCTCTGTTCTCAATCGTGACCTTCCTTAGTCTCTGAAGTGTCCTATTTTACACAGAAGGACACACGTTTAAGACATGTGCAAAGTAGTTGGCAGTCGATGTACTGCAAAGCCAGCGCTGTCTTCCTCAACCGCAGCCACGTCGTCTTCCCCTTTGCAGTTTTCCGTCCAGATCCCCTGGGCTGTCTGTGCCAGTCAGCCCTCTAGGTGTATACACACGTTGTCAACTTAGCCAGTGCCCTCTGGCACCTGTCTTGGGCAGCCACTCCATCAAGTTTCGTCGTTTATATGATTTTTTATAATGATATGTTGTTACTCATCCTGTGCCCATTTTCATGTTATTCGTTCTTTATAATGTAGCAGGACCTCCAATTTTTGTTTTCCGAGTCCTGTAGCCCTTGACAAAGACCAGATGTCGCTGCTTCTATAAGCCGCCTTCGGCAGAATCAGGCACTCCATGCGCTCTTCGCCCAGGCTTTGATCCTGCCTCTGCCGGGCCACGATGACAGGTTATAATGTGATATTTTGACGTCGTGTTTTCTTTCAACTTGGAACCCCAGAAGTAGAGGCTGCACTGCTTCTGTGTGACTGGGGCACAGCGCTCCAGACACGTAGACGTTTGATGAAAGCTGAGTGGACGCACGTGTGAGCAAACAAATTCAGGGCAGGTTAAGGAAAGAGAGGGAGACATGACTTGATGGGTGAAGAAGAAGTGAGATAGGTCGTGGTGGTGGGGGAGGCCACCGTCTTGCTGCAGTGCTTGCTGGTGGGAGGAGGGATCCTGGGGGATTCCACACCACAGTTGAGGGTGTCCTGCAGGAAGTCTGATCCCGGTGAGGGTCACAGCGTGGACAGGGGCGCCCAGAGCCACTTTGCAGTCCCCACTGCTTGGAGGTGAACAAGGACAGTGGAGGGCCTGGGCCGACTGTTCTGGCTGGCTTCTGGGGATCCGGTGGCTGCTGCCCTGCACTGCATGGACAGAATGTGTGCGTATTTTATTCCTAGACCCATGAGCAGAGAATGACTTTTCCCTACCTCTTTGAGTAAAGGAGACCAGCCAGCCAGCACATGGTTCCTAATCCCCTCTGTCTCCTAGGCACTCTTGACAAATTAGGGGGAAAGACAAGAGAGATGACAAGACTTTCTCCCTTTAAGGAGCTTGTAGTCTGATCTTTATTTTTAGTTGCTAAACCTTAAATAAAATTTAAAGTATCAATTACAATCTCACTACTTACAAAATTTTGTAAGTTGAACTGTCCTTTGTCAAGATTGAGAGAGTGAGAATGTAGTAGCAGTGGCCCACCTCCTCTCCAGATTCTGATCTCTGAGCAGCCTTTCCAACTAGCAGGGCCAGGGCTTCTTGGAGAAATGGTTTGATTCTAGGTCTGGGGCTGGAAGCGAGCCAGGAAGACAACGAGCTGTGGCTGAGTAACAGGGCCTCTTATCCAAGGGACACAGGAACCACCGGAAGACCAACGACGGGCCAGTTTGAACATCAGAAAGAATGTGATGGCGACCAGTTGAAATACCAAATATGTGAAAATCCATCAGTTCATAATGATACGAATTAATATCCAGTTCACTGGTCATCACTGGAGGCAGTTCTCTACTCCAGTAAGTAGAGAGAAAGACTCGACCATTTGTTAACCCTCCTGTTTGTATCATCTGTGTTTCAGGGTAACCAAATGGTTGATAAGGAAGAAATCCTCCTTACAGACAAATTCTAGTAGTAAGTACAGAGAAATGAGAGAATGAAAATGACCATTTTGTAATCCTTGTTAAAATAATAGGTGTGGGCAAAAATGTGTAGAAGATACTCAAGTCCATTTGAAGAAAGGTTGGTGGGAATTCTCTACTGGATGGACCACACCAACAATTCCACATAAGCCCCTGACTCTGGAAACACCACTGAAATGATGGTGAGGTGGCCAGGTGGTGGGGAAGCTGAGAAGCAGTCCTCATTTGTGGGCCCGGAAGGCGAAGTTCGCAGGATGTGAGTGTGAAGAGAGAAGAAGTAAAGCCAGGACAATTTGCTGGTAGTCATCCTCTGAGTGGGTGATGGCCCCACATCTCCTCTGCTCCTGAAGCAGGTGGCTGTCCGTCTTCCCCTCAGCAGACCCATGTTCCATCTGAGGGAGGGAGGGCACAAAGGCCAGCAGGCAGAGCCAGAGAGCAGGGCCCTGCTACGGTCAAGGCAAGGGAGTGAATAGTGACATGTCCGCCCCTTCACCTGGCTTCTGCCGAGCTCTGAGAATGTGCACAGCCGGGCTTACATTCCACATGGGAAGTTCTTCCGTGGACACCTGACCAGGTCACGAGCGAAGGCCCAAAGTGCAAACACGGCAGGCTTCCGCGGGAGCGGATGCAGCGGAGCCTCACGCAGCAGAGCCCACAGCCTCTGTGCCTCCCCTGGGACGGGGTGTGCGTGAGCGTCTCTCTAGAGAGCCGTGTGTGGCTCAGCCAGGTGACTGGCACTCTTCCTTCTGGGCGACTTTATCAGGGGCCTTTGGCATCCCACTCACTGCCTCCCTCTTTATCTTTGGTAGGGTTTCCTGAGAAGGCCTGATGCAACCTGACAAGATACGCAAGCCTCGAGCGCTCTACCTGACATTAGGCAAATTAGGTCATTTACAGGTTATCAGCAGGAGCCCTTTGGGAGATTTATCATCTGTGAATCGAAGATGATTTGATTCTGTAAAGCAAGTTGTTCATGCTGCCGATCAACATCACTGTGTTGTGCCCCATATAGGTCTGGTTGCTCTCCTGCCTTCCTGCTCCCTAAAGGATGCTTAGAACAAAATCCCAGGGTTGGCAGTTTGCCAGTTAACACCCGAGCCTGAGGTCAATGAAGACCTTGCCTGGATGTTTGTGCTTTGCAGTCGCCAGTCTCGGCGGGGGTACCGGGCGTTCCGCGGGGACCCTTTTCTCTGCTGCCTTTCTCACCTGTCCTCAGTGTGTCCATGGGTCGGCGGTGCAGTTGTCATTCTGCACTCGGATCAGTGCTCCTGCCCACCAGACAGGGTGTGATGCATGGTGTCACCCCATCCTTAGTGATTCTCTAGATGGGAAGGGAAGGCTCAGAAAGGGTGCGTGACTTCCCCTCCTGTGGTCACACAGCAGGCAGGGAAAGACCAAGCCATTCATTTGAGCCTGGGTTGATGCCATTGCTCTGGGGCCCACCGCCTGGTGTATCCCTCTGTTACCGCTGTCACCAGACCTCTGTTTTCCCGTCAGCAGTGGCAGAGAAAGTAGGTGCCAGCAGTGAATCCCCTTCGCAACCCCTACCCCAATTCCTGCTTGCCTAATTCTTTTACAGAAAAGAGTGAGCAGCCCATGGGCTTAGACCAAATGCGGGATCTTTGACCAGCCCTTCAAGTCACTTGGTCTCAGCTCTTTCACTTGCAAAGCAGGTGGTATGGCTGGGGTGGGGGCTGCCTTCCTGAGTTACTTGTTTTAGAGCGTGTGACCTGCTCCTGAGCTCTGGAATGCTGGCGTCACAGGCTGGGAGCATGTGCTTAGAGCACAGCAGGGACACTAGGCAAACATTTTTTTATTAACTGCATCCTCTTTCCCTCCTTCCTAGTCAAGGGGATGGGGATGGGGTGGAGAAAACAGTCTCATCTCACAACCTTAATGTCTCTATCAAAAATGTTGCCTTGTAATGATTCCCTTAAATATCTGTTATACAGATTGACGATAAACTCCTTGCAGACAGGGCCTCTCATTTTCCTTGGTACCTAGTAATTGGTGGAGAAACATTTGTTAAGTAATAAAATATACTGATTCTCCAGTTCTTCCGTCCTGCTGACCTCCTTGGAATTTGGTAAGAATTTCTTCTCTTGGGAAATTAAATCTTCCGGAAGACAGTCACTTTTTATTCATATAGCCTGAAATGGAGCAGCTACTAGTGACCATTCAAATGAACTGACTAAAGCTTCCACTTTCTCTTCATCTCGGATGATCACCACCCCTTTATTTTGGTTGGACTCAATGGACTCTCCTAGATTGGGTCAAGAACTTTATTTTTGCTCGATAAAACAAAAGCCCCCCACTTTTACTTTTGTTTAATTAACCTTTATTTTGTTTTCATTTTTTCTTTAGAAAAGAAAGATGTGACTCAAAGCCTAGAGAACTACACCTCCAAGTGTCCTGGGACAGCGGAGCCCATCACTCTCCCAGACGGCCTCGTGTTACCTCCGGTGCCCTTCACCAGACTGCCCATTGTCAGGTGGGCTGCCCTGCTGGAGTGTGATGGCTGTCGGCCTCTACCCCTCTGGTCCTGCCAGCCCTGCACACCCTTGTAGAAACACGCAGAGTAGGCAGAGTGCGTGGGATTTATTCCTTCATCTTCTGCTTGAAATGCCTTTGCCTCCCTTACTCTGCCTGATCACCCTTAGCCATTTTTCAAGGTTTAGTTCAAGTCTTTTCCTAAAACCACCCAGGTAGAAACTATGTCTTCTGTATAAATTACAAATTATTTCAGCTACAAAGAGCAAAAGATGTAATAGTGGGTAGGCAATAAGTGGTTATTTTTCTCATTTATTAAGAATCTAGAAATAGGTGGCCTCTCTGTAATTCTGTCTTCACCTCATGGTTATGAGATGGCTGCTGCAGCTCCAGAGAGCACATCTGTGTCCAAGATAAGGACAAGAGGCAGGGCCAGGGATGCGTACCTTCTGTTCACGAGGGAAGCAAACATGTTCCCGACAGGTTCACAGTGGGCTTCTGCCCTAGTCTCGTGGACCAGGAGTGTGTCTCGTGGCTACCTCTAGCTGTGAAAGAGGCTGAGAAACAAGTGTCTAGCTGTTCCAGTCTGTATGTAGGTGGGCAAGGGAAAGGCAGTCAGAGACTGGTGCTGTGGCAGCCAGCCAGCAAGGTCTGCCATGTCTTCTTTCAGCAGCACTTTTGGAACTTGGTTAATACGTCCTGTTGACACCTTGGGTCTCTCCCTGAGAACTTCCCAAAGAGCTCCTTGTCTCTGTAGGTGTCATGCATGTTGGAAAATGAATAGATGTATCCATTGGAAGTCTTTATCTAGCAGCTGGCAGAACACCTGACCCAGGCTGTCTGAGGCTAAAGGGAATTTCTGGCACATGTACCTGACAAGTCCAGGGGAGTAATCTGGCCGGGCTGGAGGCAGGCTCGGACAGCCTCACTGTGCCTTGGTTCTCTCCGTCTGCAGCTCTGTCCTCTGCGGTGAGGTGTAGTGTCGGGCCCCAGGCGGGGCCAGGTGGCACCCGCTCCAACATGCACGGTGTCTGGGAGAAGGGGAGGCACCTTTCAGTGATGGCTGTGGAAGGAAGACGCCACCCCCTTCTTTCAGAGGCCTCCTGGCTGTCCGCTGCTCTGCCCGGGCTGTGGGCCTGCATCTGAGCCAGCCCCCAGCCCCGTGGCTGAGAGGGGAGCTTGTGCATTTCCCCTACAGCAGAACGCAGGGACTGTTGGGCATGGGACAGTGGGACAGGCACGTCAGGGGGCAGCCAGCGAGGGCCAGGGCAGCGGCCCCTCCCGCCTCACCCCAGACAGAAGGCTTGGCCTGTGGCGACCCGATCGTGAGGCTTCTCTGTCGCGACACGACGGGCCACTGCACGCCCTCCCCTGACAGGCATCGTCGCCTTCAGCACCACCGAGAGATGAGCGCATGCTTTATTCTATGAGCTGTGTTTTGTCTGCCATGGAGTTGACACTTTCTGGCCAGGGGTGCTTACGCACCTCTGCTTGTGCTAATAATGGCCTGTGTTTTTATTTGGGATGACTTTTCATGCACGGATAAGTTTGCTCACTTTAACCTGTTTTCACCATTTTTCTGATGCTCAAGTTGTCCCCAAGTTGGCTGGTGGGAGCCCCTTCACGCTGGCTCCTGTGTCCTTTGTCATGTGCCCCCCAGTCTCTGAGTCCTTGCTCCTTTTCTGGCACAGAGGATGCTCTGGGCTTACCTTCTGCTTGCACTGCTCCCAGCCCTGCCGTCGGCTGTTCCTCAAGGAGCCCCAGTCCCTTGCAGGAGACCAGGACTTTGCTGAGGGTCGGAGTGCCCATCACTGTGGGTGTTCTGCCCTTAGGACAGCGCCAGGCAGCATCTATTCCTGACGTACGCTCTGCACACGTGCGCCTACGTCTGTGTTTGGTTCTATAGCTCTTCACATGTCCGCGAACTGTGACTGTGTACTGAGGCCTGCGGTTCCAACCCTCGCCCCCGGGCTCCTCCAGCTTCTCGCATCTGTAACCCCCCTTCTCAGACAGTGGGAAGCCTGTCTGCCTTTGTCCTTGGCATAGTTACTTAGCTGGCCAGTCCCCCCGTGTGTGAGTAGTTACCATGGACCCCCCTCCCTCCGCAGGGGCAGCTCTCATGCCCGCCTGGGCCCTGCCTCCCCTCTCTGGCGTCATCCCCTCTGCCCCTGTCCCCTGCTCACGTGCTGCCTGGCTCTGCCCCCCCAGTGGCTTCAGGACTGAATTGTCGGGGGTGGGAGGGAGAGGGTGCTTTCTCGTCTGTTCTGACCCACAAATAAGCTTGGCCTTAGAATCCTGGTCTGTATGAACTGGGTTCACCCCAAAATGGCTGCAAGTCATAGTGATACGGGCACATATTGTGCCTCAGAGAACATTTGACGCAGGTCATATAAACATTATGTTAAAAATAGTTTAAGTGGCCAGAATGTCAGGGTCCTACATAATGGCTAGAGATGATTCTAATATATTCTAATATAAACAACTAATAAGTAAAGAGGAAAGCGGGATTGGTTGCAAGCTTCTCTGTCTCCTAAACAGACGGTCATTCTCTGGTCACTCTAGGGAAATAGAGCCCTTCACGGTGAGCAGGCTTGTGGGTTCTCTGCAGGAGAACACCGGGCCGCACCGAGGCACCACCCCCAACAGCATCCCCACAGGGGCAGGTCCTCACGGCCGTCTTGCTCTCGGTGTTTCTTGGTGCAGGCTGCAGTTCGGCGCCAGAGAAGGACCACGGAGACCCAGTCCTCCCGAGGACAGAGCGGTGTGCTCTGGACACGCAGCACTGCTGCGGACTGTGTGCCGCGTCCCCCAGTTCCTATGTTGAAGTCCAATCCCCAGTGGGATGGTATTTGGAGGGGGTCTTTGGGGAGTGACCAGGTTTAGATGAGGTCATGAGGGTGGGATCCCTGTGATGGGAAAGTGAGATGGAGGGACCAGGGCTCTTTTTCCCCTCCATGGGTGGACACGGGGGTGGCCCAGGAGGAGGGCTGCCACCAAGAGCTCAGCCACGCTGCCACACTGATCTGGGACCTCCAGCCTCCGCTGCCCAGGGTATGGGGTTCTGTTACCCCAGCCTGAGCTGAGACAGGCACTCTTGACAGCCTGGACTGTTGCTGCCACACAATTGAGAATATATGGAGTCATGGACGGACTGCTTACATGGCAGCATGGATGTAATTTCTCCAAGTAAGCTTGTGGCAAGGCTTATGCAGCAGAAAACTTGACAGTATATTCAGGCAAACAAAACAAAACAAACAAAAAGCCAAGAGAGATGGTAGGTGTTCTGTGATGCTGATTGAGGCTGTTTATCTATCCCATTTATTGGCATGCCGTCAGCACCGTAGGTGTTCAGGGCCTTTGTGGGGAACGGTTAAGTGTTCCCACTGCACGTAGCGCTGTCACCCTCGTACAAGGTCGGTGCCCCTCTCCTTCACAGAGGGCCGCTGCAGCACCTGTGGGCCGGCTGGTGTTTTCTGTAGAAAAAAGATCTGGGGCTATTTTAATGTATTAACCAAATGTTTGAAGGACCTATGCCTGGAAACATGGACTTGATCATTTTGATTAAAATTCCAGTCAGGCATTGCCAGTCACCCCCTGTAGCCATAGGAAGAGCTCAGTAATGTGTACATTTGAAGACCGGAGCTGCTAAGTGTTACGGAATAATTCATTGAAAAATGTCCACATCTGTGAATAACTGGTCAGACCTGCTGTGCAGAATTGTTGGACATAAGCTAGTTTAATGTTGTGGTGCCTTATAATTAGGATTTTGGTTTTAGAAGAGATGATTGAAGCCAGTTTTTTTCTGTTGAGGGCTTCCTAGTTTTTGACAGTAAAACCATTTCATCAATTTACAGGGAATTCCTGTTGGGTAGCATGGGAGCATGAACCGGGCTCACCTGAACATGGTTTCAGGTAATCACGATATAAGTTAAAAAAAAACCCAAAAACTAAAGTACATCCCTGTTTTAATTCTGTTCTGAAGTTCAATTAATCAAATATTTATTGAACGTCTAAAATGTGCTTGGCCCATTGGTAAATGCTAGGAATTCGCTAGTGGTCCATATGCCTGGAGGCTGCCAAACCCAAATCCTGTTACTATGTCCAGAGTTACAGCAGAGGAAAGTTCAGTTAAAACTACTAGCAATCTTAGTTTATTTCTTACAGAATTCTCCACAGAAATGATAATGTACACAAAAGCCAGTAATAATCATGTCAATTACTCACACACTACAAGCTATGAATTATTAAAGACATTGTAGTAGAGTTTAGATGCCATTTACGGTAAACCAGTGTGTATTTAATTTGGGGTGGGGTGGGGGGATCAGGTTTATTTTCTGATGAACTAACACGGAGCTCCTGCGGCCTGGCCAAGAGCTCTGGAGTTCATGAGGGCATTTGACTCTAGTCAGAATGAGCTTTGAGTTGCTCTGAGTGGCTTTGGTGCTTTTAAAACTTATATTTTTAAGTTAATTGTACTGTTTGAGGAAGGATTACAGGCTTTATTAAAAAAAAGGCTTAGAGACCATGCTCTTCAGGGCAGTTTTTCTTGGTTTATGAAATGGGGCAAAGTCAGCCTCCCAGATACCAATCAGGATGCGGCTTCCATGACCTCACGAGTTCATACTGTTGCTCAGACTCTTTCCTCCACACTTGCTACAGTTGCCAAGCCCATAACCTCCCTGCTGGGTTTCTTAAATTCGAGTTTTTTGAAGATCATAAGAAATGTGTAGTAGCATTCAGGAGTGAGAGCCGGGTGCTCACGTGTCATTAACGGACCGCTGGTTGGCCCTTCCCAGCCACCTCAGTCGTGCTGAGCCTTGGCAGGGCGGGTGCCACCCCCGTTGGTTCAGAATGAGGGGCATGTAACCAGGTTTAGTCATTGTCCATCTGTGCAGAGATATCCAGTTGGTTCTTAGGTATTTCTACTATAAATAGGGTTGATGGATTAAAAATGAAGGAAAAGTGAATTGTTTTTTCCTGTCATTCCTCAACCAGTTTGTTCTATGTCACCTTCCTTTTTAGTGTCTCACCATTGCTTTGCATGGTCCCTGTTAGCCTGAATATGCCAAGGAAAGTCAGGTGTTTAAAATGTCAACTGCTTTCGGATAGATTCTGTAAATAGAGTCCTTGATTTGGACACTTTATCCCTGGAATTCTGCTTTACTGTTGGCAGCCTCACAGACTCAGTGGAATATTATTAGTTCTGCAGCAGTTTGTGCTAGATGGATTGTATTTCCTTTAGGTCAGGGAGCCTTGAATGATTGTTTTTCCATAGTTACATTTGTAAACGAGACATTTGATGCTCAATTTTGAGTTCTGAATGAATGCTGTGCTGGCTTGTCAGGTCACTTTCCTGGCTGCCCGTGCCCTCAGCACATCTTTGCTTATTTCAAAACCTTTTATGTGATCTGGAATTTCTGTGCTTGCTTCGATGAATCCTGTAGGATCACAAATGACATCTCATGTTTAGGTCGTGACTATGGCATGAAGCAGAAGGCCATTTGTGTTGCAAGAAAACAGAATCATTTTACAAAGAAGTAAATTGTAAGGCGCCAGTGGACTCTGCCTGCCCTGAGGCCCAGCGTGTTGGCAGCTTTTCTGCAGTCCAGTGTTGTAATCTTTACACCAGGGACTTTGCTGTCTGTGTTTGTAAATAAGTGTTGTTTTAAGTAGGGGAAGAGAAAGGCTTTTGCACACTTTCATTTGTCAGGTGTTATTGTAAGTGCTTACATATATTAACTTCCTTAGGCCTCCAGGTAACCTGCGATGGTTTGAAGAGATCCCCTTCAGACCACTCCCTCTTGTCTAAGTTTGGAATCAATAGGAAGGGACATCGGGCTCAGGCAGATGGCAGACTAAGTGAACGCAGGGCTCAGGTCTGGCCAGACGATGTTTCCCCGTTTCTGGCAAGGCTGGGTGACCACATGCCTCTTTCCTAGGGGCAGGCCCCTTTCAGGTGCGTGGAGAGTGGGACAAATGGTGTGCTTTTAGCAGGCAGGCCGGCCCCCCAAGAAGGGGCTGAGCGGAGCACACCCCGACTCTCCTTCCAAACTTAGCACCTCCCTTGGGAGGAGTGAGGGAGGGGTGGGATGAGGCCGAGGACATCCCTCCCCGGAAAGCAGGGAGCGTGGTCTCGTACCTAATATTTTTCTATTTTATAAGTAGAAAAATTGAGGTCCATGGAGGTGCAGTGATCTGTGTAAGCTGGACAGCTGGCAGGTCCCCAGACTGTCACCAGGGCATGCGTACCACCTGAGGCTGCCTCTCAAGAGCCTGACGCCTGATGCAGATGCGGCAGGTCCTCTTTGGCTGCATGTGTGCGGGCACAGGATGCACCTCAGCCTGGTGTCTTGGCCAGCTCTCGGTCCGCTCCTGCCCCAGGGCCTGTGCAATGGGTATTTTTTGAATGCCCACAAACAACCAGGGTTTGCAAGTATTAGTAGTGAGTTGCTTACCTTGAGCATATAGTTTTGAAAGATTTGGAAGCTGAGTTTAAAATTCAACCTTTGGAAGTTTATTCCTTCAACAGTTACTGAGAGCTGTGCATGAGAGTATCGGTGCAGGTACTGAACCAGAGACAAACAAGGCCTCAGGGACCCCGTCCTCAGAAAGCTCACAGCTAAACTGGGACAGATGAAAAATGAAGTGATTCTGATCCTGTGTGAAGTGTACTGAGGGGTGCATGCAGGGACCAGGAGTCCGAGGAAGTATGCAAGCTGTAATCCTTGGTTCAGACAACTTTGGTTGGTAGGCACCGTGGCCGCATGCGTTTTATAGGAAGTAGCTGAGACTCACCTTGTGGCCTTGCTGGGT